GAACAGGAAAGGAAACTTAATTCAGCAGGCTCAGAGATATATATTTTTTTTTTTGACAGAATAATATTTTGTGGCTTTCCTAGTCAACAGACAAACAAACAATGACAACAATAACAACAAAAAAAACCCCAAGTTGAACAGATAGGAAGCAGTCTCCTGAGAGGATTCGAGTTTCATGAGGAATTAGATACCAGTGCTGCAGCTCACCATCTGTGAATTCCCTAGGCTGGGGTTGGTAGGAGAAGTGACTTGGACAAAGGCAGCTCTCTAGAAAATCAGGTCTAAGGGTCCACTGAGGACTGGAGAGTCACTCAGGGTAGAGAGACACACCACCTCCCTCCTCCCAGTGCTCATATATGCCTCAGCCCAATACTGCTCTAGGATGCTGGGGTAAGTAGAGTATTACTTATCGATGAATACATGGTTTAGGGAACATTTCGGATGTTTCTTAGCTTATTCATTGAGGGGAAAAACATAGTGACTAGTTAAAACATTATGAAGTCAATCAAAATAAATATTGATTATATTCGATTTGTGACTATATTGTACTTTTGTCCTCAAAGTGATTGTACTAACAACTAGCCAATAGCAGATGAGGTCTAGGAGGTAAGGCGGAACCAGAGGATGAACCAGGCTTCTCTGCAACCTTCAGCCAGAGTCCAGGGTCTGAGGAAGAAAAAAGGTGTCCCTGCAACCTGAGCTGATCCCTCCCCTCTTCGCCCTCCCTGGGAGTGTACCAGCTGTGGTGGCTGGGAAGATACTCCAATTCCAGTTCTTTGCTGATCATGTGATGCCTCTGACATATCTCTTACCTCTTCATCATAATGAAAATATCACCCTGTAAGGCCAGTTGTATTCTTATTGTCATTTAGAAACTTTGTCTAAAGCTACACAGGCTTCTAGCTGAGGAATTTTGATGAAATTTTAGTTACATAACTCACATAAAATGAACATGTTCCAGATCAATTACGTTGTGGTGACAGTTTCTTACTCTTAGCTTGGGTTGACTGGGTCTTTTTTGTGGAGTGGTATTTATTTATTGATTGATTGATTGATTGATTGATTGATTGCCATAGGGCATGTGCACTCACCAGAAAGACAGAGAAGAGAGACAGGGAGACAGAAAACAAATCACCCCCCAGGGGAGATGGCCACACCGCAATCCCTTCTTTTCCATTCTCCTCTTGGGATCTTGGGCATGCACGCACACATGCTTGGCATCAGTTTAAGCCACCGGGTCCGGGACTCAAACTGCGGTTGACTACATGGGAGTCCAGCGACATAGCCATTATGCCAACGGTTGGGACCTTCTATAGTAGAATATTTTCCCTCTTTAGTCTTCAAATCTTGGAGCTGTTTTCAGTTAACTGGGTTAGATTGTCACCTGACCCATGGCCCAGGTCACTCTGAAATGTGAGAGAGAATGCTTCATTCACCATTATTAATCTACTCATTCAAGAAAAATAGATTGAGCACCTCTATGTGCCAGGAGTCTAAAGTTAAAATAGGTAACACTAATTTACCATTTATTACATGCTAGGGAATGTGTAGTTTAGTATTTTATTTGTTTTATTTGTCACAAAAGTCCTATAGGTTGAGTTAGCAGGTGGTGTGGTGGTTAAGGTGTTAGACTCCCATGTGGCCAATAGTGGTTCAAGTCCTGACCTGGTGGCTTGAAAGTTAAGCAAAGTGCATGTGCTTGCATGCCCAAAATCCCTAGAAGAGAATAGAGGAGAAGGGATTGCAGCATGGCTATGCCTCCTGGGGGTGTGTATTGATTTATTACTTTCCCTCTCTCTGGCAAATGCACACACACTATGACAAAAACCTAAAAATGAAGAGTCCCATAGGGTTCTATATATTGTGATGCTCATTATGTAGGTGAAGAAACTGAAAAGAGTTGAAGCAACTTGCCCAGAAAGATAGAGCACAGACTGGATATGAATCCAAACACTGTGGCGCTGGGATCACATGGCCGGGATTCAGATACTCATTTCACTGCTATTGCTGCCCAGCTTTCAAGGAAAGGAAGGAGGAGATAAAATTTTAGTCATTTCTTTCTGGTCTCTACAGATAGGCCAGAATGAGCAGTCTCTAGAACTCGGCATGGTTATGTTTGAAGACTTCTGCAAAACTACAGCCATGAAATATTGAGAAATGCCAAGGGCTACTTTTCAATGAGAAAAATTAGCAATGGTGACAGGATAGAGACAGGTTTGGGAATATTTTCACAGGCACGCCCTATAGTTGGGTTGCAATTAACTGTGAGTATAAATAAATTCATATGTGGGTAAGGACAGACCTCCTTCTGAAACAAACGGGGCACAGCATTTACTACAGAACTACCCTTCTTGTGAAGTGATTAGATGGCAACATTTAAGGGTAAAATTTAGTTAGGCACACTTTTCTTAAAAAATAGAATTAATTTTTTTGTGTATTGTGTTATCTCTAATTTCTCTTGCTTCAGTTCATTTTTCACAATTTTTCATACCCCCCCTTGACTTTGTCTCCCCACAAGACTATTTATCATTAAAGTTCTAAAATATTGGTCTCATCAATGTTCCACACTCCATAAAAGCTTCTAATAACATTTTTTCTTTTTTGGAGAGGTTTTTGCTATAGGGTGTGAGCACTTGCCAGAAAGACAGACAGAAAACAAGAAATCACTCCCCAGAAGGGAAGGCCAGCCCTTCGCCTCCATTCTCCTCTCAGGATCTTGGGCACACATGTACATGTGCCTGGCGTGAGTTTAAGCCACTGGGTCCAGGACGCGAACTGTGGTCAGCTACATGGGAGTCCAGTGACATAGCCATTATGCCAACTGCTGGTCCCAAAAGTTTCCAATAACTTTTTAAACATTTTTATTTTATTTTGAGAGAGATTTTTGCTTTGGGGCACATGCATTCACCAGAGAGATAGAAAGTAAGAAATCACCTTCCAGAGGGGATGGCCATATTACAGTTCCCTCTCCTTCACTCTCCTTTCTGGATTTTGGGCACACATTCGCATGCGCCTAGTGTGAGTTTTACACCACCAGTTCTGGGTCTCGAACCAAGGTTGAGTCCAGCAACATAACCTTTATGTCCCATCTTCTAATAACTTATTACCTATAGTATAGTATGACTTTCAAAAGTCCTTAGCATGAAATACAAGACTTTTTATAGTCAGGCTCCTTTAGAACTTTCCACCTAGATAAATCCCCTTTTCCTATATCCTACACATCTTACACTGTGGTCACCCAGAATTTCAGAGATTTCTGTCATTTAACTTATGCTGTTCTCGCTTGAAATGACTTTTCCTCTCTTCCGTCAGTAAAAACCCCCATTTCCACTTCAAGTCCCATGTGACCCTCTACTAAAGCGCTCATGCTCCCCAGAGAGAATGATAGCTTCCTGCACAACAGGCTATTTGAGTAGCCACAACCCATTGCTCAAACATCCGGTGTGTCACTAAGCACTTTTTTTTTAATAGATTTGCCATAGGGTGGATGCATTCCCTGGAGAGAGACAGAGAAACAAAGAGGGAAAAGTATGAAATCACTCTCCCCAGGAGGGATGGCCATGCTTCAGTCTCTTTTTCTCCATTCTCCTCTCAGGAATTTGGGCATGTACATACATATACTAGGTATGTTTTTTGAGCCCCCAGGTCCAGGACTTGAACCTCAGAGTCAGCCATGTGGGATCCAGTGCCTTAACCACCTTGTCACTGGGTGATTCAGTACTTTTGAGTGTGTATCTTTGTTCATGTTTCCAGTTCTCATTAGGTTAAATATCCTCCCAGGATAATGATTTTGCTTTATTCCTTCTGTATTGCCAGGGCCTCCTATTGCAATAGAACATAGTTAATACAGAAGTCCTCTCTTATCTGTGGGCAATACATTCCACAACCCCTCAGTGGATGCCTGAAATTGTAGATAGTACTGAATCTTATATATACAATGTGTTTTTCTATCTATACATACCTATGACAAACTTCAACTTATAAATTGGGTGCAGTAAGAAATTAAAACAATAACTAAAAGTAGAACAATTATAACAATATCATGTAATAAAAATTACATGAGTGTGGTCTCTCTCAATATTTCTTAGACTGTTTTCACTGTATTCTTATTTTTTGTGATCTGTTGATCTAATGCTAGACAAAGGGACCCTTCCTGTCCCAGGAAGATGTGAGATTGCATCATATTACTCAGAATAGTGTGCAATAAAAAACTAATGAATTGCTTATTCTAAAATTTTCCATAATTTTTTTGACAGCAGTTAGGTATAGGTAACTGAATTTGTGGAAGAGAAACTGTGGGAAGAGGGACACCGGAAGTAGAAAATTAATAAATAAATCTTGCCTCTTGCTTTGCTTTTAGAATTCCTATCCATGTAATGATCATGACCTCCCCCACCCCCCCAAAAAAAAAAGAATTTGAGGGAGAAAGTAAAAATGCTACATTTTATGCACTTTCTCCAATCAAGTTTTATGTTCCTTGTGTAGAATTTCTCACATAGTGCCTTTGTAGAAACTCATTTTCCTAGAGGGAGTTGAGGAAAAAAGAGAGGAAAAACCAGAAAATAAATTCAGTTTTCTCTAAGATGTCAGTCCCAGCATTCTGAAGGGCATTTTCCAGGTTTTTGATCTTTCCACCCCAGTCAACTCAGAAAAAAATAACTTTTATAAAAGAGTAGTCATCTGTGATCCTGATAAAGAGTAGACATGGCTAAAATCCAAATACACATTAGGCCAGTCCCATAGCTTACTGGTTAAGGGAGCCAGGTCCCACATGGCTGACCATAGTCTGAATCTTGGCCCCGGTGACCTGACAAACACATCAGGCATGTGTTTGTGTATGCTCTAAATCTTTACAGGATGAAGAAATGGAGGAGAAGGGATTGTGGCATGACCATGTTCTGTTGGGGGCTACTTTCTTTTTCTCTCTCTCTGTTTCTCTGTCTCTCTTTGTGACTGCATACAGGATCTGGAAATTAAAAAAATAAATAATAAAAACATACCCTTTAGTAGCTGGCAGTTATATGTACTCAAGTTCCCAGCTGACCGTAGTTGCAACCAGTTTCCACTTGGGTGATATCTCATATTCACGACTTCAAACAACTCATAGGGAGGGATCAGGACTTCCTTCTTAAGGGAGAAGTCTTGCACAGGTGCACCCAGGCAGGTAGATATGGTAAATAGTGTCTGGTTAACAAACTTCTGTACCTCTTCTCTTAGGAGAGAGGCAGAGATGAATTGGCCAAACCGAATGGTGTCTCCTGTGTAGGCTTTGAAGGAGACATCCTTCATCCCATGATGCACCTCATAGCAGAGTGTGTCATTCTTCATGACTCTCTCTTTCCTCAGCAGCTGGATTGCTGAGGTCAGGTAGTAGTGTAGATATTTGAAATGGAATGCATGTTCATACTGCTGTGGAGACCTGGCAGCACTGGCCATGGCGTGAATAAAGTCAGCACGAACATTACTCTTCAACGTGTAAACCAACATAGCCACAACATGTGGGATAGTCATATCCTTGGGGAGAGCTTTTGCACGGTTCAGCCAGGTCAAATGGGCTTGGTGCCATATCTGGGAGTAATTCTTATGGTGTTTTAGTTCTTTAGTGAAATAATCTCCTCGACTTAGTTCCTCCATGACCTGTTTGCCACAGCCGTGGTACTGATCATCGAAGGAGCCAGCTGCCAAGTCAAAGTTGACTTTACCTGCAACCTGTAAGGAAACAACTTTGATTTTAATCTTCAAGTAGATGGCCAGTGTAGTAGCAGATTTGCTATACTCTACAAAGCCTAGTGTCCTGAAAACCAGTATTTGCTGAAGTTACACTCAATTGTTAAATTGCACCAGTCCTTCCTGTATTAATGATCTGTGCTGTAGAGTGAATTTCATCTCCTACATTTTACTGAAAGCTGAAAAACACTCATTTCCCCAGGGAGGAAGGAGCCCTTTTTGTGTCACTGAAATCACAATGTTTTTGCATATTGAGTGCTTTGAAGAAGAACCTTATAGTTATTAATAACCTCATAGTTTCATGATTCTTTGTTTCCTCTACTTTCTTCTTCATATTCTTTCATGTTCTAAGAAGTATCCCATTTGTGAATGCCTAAAACCTATATAAAATCTTTGAGCTTCATTTAAGAAAAAACGTCTTAGGTGACTAGCGTGAGGTTCTCCAAGGGGACTTCTAGTAGATACTTCTCTGGTTTTAAGAATAAAAAGAACTAATGTGAATGCCAAAATCTCATTTTTCTTATTGAATGAGGGCATACTGGAGCAGATTACCTTTAGTTCTGATAGCAAGTGGGCTTGTTAAGAGTATATTTCAGAATGAGGCACTTACACACCCTATTGCAGGCCATACCAGAGTGGGCAAGATTCTCATCACAGAGAAGCAGAAGTTAGCCTGATGCCCTTTGCCTTCCTGGAGGAAGAAAACAGAAGCAAACTCAGTGGACTGTTATTCTTCCCTATATTACCACTGAAGGAAATGTGTCCACCTCCAAGGTAGTAAAGTGAGTAAGGGATTGGATGGTGGTAAGGAGTGTGCCTAGGAACGTCTTTTATTTTGGAAAAAGATATTCTTTTTGGTAGCAATTGAATATTATTTAAGGATATCTAGTGTATATGAAACTAAAGCTAGAGTTTTGTATAGGAGCTCACTAAGTATCATTTAGAGACATATTTGAATGATCTAAAGTCTAAAACATTTTTTTTTTCTTGGCAAAGAGAGGTTGTTTTTCTAATAAACATTACTAATTAAGGAATATGTTAAAGGGTAAAGATTCTATCCAGTCAATGTTAAGGATGTTAGGACTGGAATTTAAAAAAATTGCCATTTGGGATTCTTACTATGTTATTTATGTTAAGACATGTAGTTTTGTGTAAACTGGTACAAAATTTTAACACTTGTTACGTAATTTTAATCAATAACTTTTTACAGTAAGTTTTAAAATAAGTCTACAGACTCTATATAACCCCAAACAAACCAAGCCAATAATATCATGTTCTGTCAAATTTCGTGATTAGCTCTCAAACTGTCAAATACATTTTTTGATCTTGAATGTGTATTGTCATCTCATATTTTATTAGATTGTTTTTAGTTACATAGACCTTTAAATTAGAATACTTATAACTTAAGCTTATCTGTATAATACAGTTAAAAGCTAGATAGACCTGGTTTATTTTGCATTATTTGTCCTATGGAAGTAATATCTTACTTAATTTTTTTATGAGGAGTCAAGAAAATAATTCTTCTGTAATTCTACTAGCTTCCATAGTGCCAAATTTATAAACTGTAAAGAATTCTACAATAAACTGTAAAGAATTCTGGGACCAGCAGTTAGCATAATGGCTAGGTCACTGGACTCCCATGTAGTCTACCGTGGTTCGAGTCCCGGACCTGGTAGCTTAAACTCACACGGGGCATGCGTGCATGCCCAAGATCCTGAGACGAGAATGGAGAAGGAATTCCTGCGTGGTCATCCTTCCTGGGGGGTGATTTCTCGCTTTCTGTCTCTGTCTCTCTCTGTCTTTCTGGCGAGTGCTCACGCCCTATAGCAAAAACCTCTCCAAAAAAAGAAAAAAAAAAAGAATTCTACAACCTTTAATGATTATTCTCAACACTGTCCACTAACATTCTTTGTTAAAATGTCTGAATAAAATTAAATCCCAGGTGCCTAACGTTTGCATCGTTTAAAGGTTGTTACCAGGGGAATGCTCTATTGGTGCCTTGATCATAAAGAGGTCACCTCGGGGTCAGCAGGTGGCGTGGTGGTTAAGGTGCTGGATACTCCCACATGGGCAACTGTGGTTCCAGTCCCAGACCTGGTGGCTTGCTTTCTCACTTTCCCTCTCTCTCTCTCTGTGTCAAATTAAAATAAATTAATAAATCCTTAAAAAAAATAAAGAGGTCACCTCCTCAACTGCTCCCTACCTCAGAACTCCTGGTGGGTCTCTGTGGGCCAGAGAGCAGCAGCAGAAGCAGCAACTGCCTTCTGAGGAGCCAGATTCTCATTGTTGGAGCCGAGTAGTCCAGCTACAGTAGTCGGGAGAAGAATCCTCTTGCATCTATTAGTCAATAGACAGCGTTTGTGTTCAAAGTTCTCTGTTGCCCATGCAGCTTCATCCTGAAATGAGTTCTCAGAGTTCTCCCTTGGGGTTTTCTCTGAGTGAAGCTCAGTAAAAACCTTCTCTTTCTTCCTGCTATGCGGAGACTTCCGTTGATCACGGTTACCAGCTTTTCGGAAAGGCAGAAATCAACATCAAGTGTTTTTTTGCAAAGTTGAAATCTTTATGAAATAGCCAGATGTGTTCACCAAATAAGGGTTTCAAAAGTGAATTTAAGTTTGTTCCAATTAAAACAACAACAAAATCCCTATTCCAGGGGAATGCCAGTGACCTGTTAAGTGTTAGGCTCAGCAGCTTAGCCGTAACTTTCCCAGCAGTAAAGGGAAAAGCACACTCTGTACAGTGCTTGGGGCCAAGTGGCACTATCTGGAACTCCAGCTCCCACTGTCAGTGATAAGACTGGAATGCACAAGGCAGCTGGGGCGATGCTGCTGGAAGGTGGGCCTCTGTGAAGCTCTCTGGTACTGCTGATAGGCCCTGCCAGGTCAGGCTGCCATGAAGCAATATGCAATGTTTAGGGTTATTGCCAGAAAGAGGGCTCTGTTTATTGCTTTTCCACTCTACCTTGGAGACTCTCCAACACAGTCAGTGTAGCTACTAGGTTCAGAGCTCCCCCCCCATCTTCTCTCCTGAAGATGTCGAGTCCTTGATTCACACTATTGCAGCTGAAAGCGACCCCTTAAAGATCCTTGCCAAAAAACTTCCTGTGTATAGCTGTTGTAAATCAAAAATGGGATCCAGTGTGTAAAATTGATCCAGCTCAGATGTATTACTGAACTTTTTTTTTTATCTGAACATTCTTTTCTAGTCCCAACCCTTGTGATAATGTTTTTCTTGCAAATATTTTCCATTTATACTTCTTGATTCATTAATTGCTAAGGGAAATTAAATCCTATTCTTGGAAATTCTGTTATTCTTTCTTTTTTTTGGGTACTCTCTATACATGCACACACACACACATAAACTTACATTTGGAATTTGTATTGGTCCTCTAATTTTTTTTTTTTTTGAGAGATTTTTGCTATAGGTTGTGTGCACTCACTGGAGAGACAAAGAGACAGAAAGTGAGAAGTCATCCCCCAGGGAGAATGGCCATGCTTCAATCCCTTCTCCTCCATGCTCTTCTCAAGATTTGGGACATGCACTTACACGTGCCAAGTATGAGTTTT